CAAGAGTGTCCTACAAGAGTATCCGACAAGAGTTTCCTACAAGAGTGCAAGAGTGTCCCACCAGAGTGTCCTACAAGAGTGTCCCACAAGAGTGTCCCGTATGAGTGTCCCACAAGAGTGTCCCACAAGAAAGTCCCGCAACAGTGTCCCACAAGAGTGTCTCACAAGAGTGTCCCTTAAGAGTGTACCACAAGAGTGTCCTATAAGAGTGTCCCACAAGAGTGTCCTACAAGAGTGCCCCACAGTTTCCTACAAGAGTGTCCCGCAAGAGTCTCAGAGTGTCCCACAAGAGTGTCCCACAAGAGTGTCCTACAAGAGTGTCCCACAAAAGTGTCCCACAAGAGTGTCCTTATAGAGTGTCCCACAAGAGTGTCTCACAAGTGTGTCCCACAAGAGTGTCCTACAAGAGTGTGCTACAAGAGTGTCCCGTAAGAGTGTCCCGCAAGAGTGTCCTACCAGAGTGTCCCACAAGAGTGTCCTACAAGAGTGTCACGTAAGAGTGTCCCACAAGAGTGTCCCGCAACAGTGTCCCACAAGAGTGTCTCACAAGAGTGTCCCTTAAGAGTGTCCCACAGCCGCAGTTGCGGATTTCTCTGTATTATGTGGACGGTTATCACTTTCAAGTGCTTCTTTTCGAGCTTTTGGGACAATGCCGTTGTTTCTTTCGTGATGTGGATTTGCCAGAACCTTTAGGCCAGTGCTTGATTTGAATGCAACACGAAGACCCTTCATGACGAAGACGGAGCTTGATGGTGAAGTCCCCAGCACATGCTGCCTTGGTGGTGGATTCCCCAGCGCATGATGTCCAACAGCGTACCGGAGTGTGAAAAAGATAATCTAACCGGCTGTGTCTCTTTCTATACACAGTGGATTGACATATGTGTTTGCATTCGGGTTCGTGGGCTCCATCTTGTTTTTTTTCGGGGGGGGGAGCCACAATGCATGAAAGAACTTCGGCAAAAGGAAGGTCCCAAGCATTTTAAGGGTGCATCAGTGTCTGATTGGAATGTATAGCATGGAACAGGAATCCCCCTCTTCGGAACGATGCGGCATTGCCGGGGCCATGGTGGGGCCATGCCGGTCACTCTTGCCGAGAGGTCAAACAGAGAGTGACCCTCACAACGACATCGGTTCCAATCAGTGACCCTCACCAAAGTCTTCTGGAAACTGTGTGGTTCTATCTATACACTCCCCGGAACTAACATGAAAGTGAATGGCATGGCCCCTTGGAAGAGCATTTTCCACCACAAACAGGTGGTTTTCCACTTCCATGTTAGTGAGTCAGAGGGTATATGCTGTTTTTCTACCTCGCAGTTGGGGAATCTGCAGGTCCATTTTTCTGGGCTTTTGCCAATCCAAGTGGCAAGCTGACCCCTGGAATGTGTGGACAAAAGTCCTGTGAGTGTCTACCTCTGTCCACCTGTTCAGCCTTTGTGAGAAACAATGGGAAATCCATTTCCGACCCTATGGATCCACATACCTTCTCAGACTTGGACCCTCCAAACCTACATGGCCACATGGCAGTGTCTCCAATCACCGTACCTGAGAAGGTACTTGGATCCCTAGGGAAACAAATCTACGGTACCACCCCCTAAAACATTGATATCCTTTCGTGATTCATCATGCGGGGATTGGTACCACATACCAAATTCATCCTATTTGTAGTAGACGACCGGGTGTATCTCCTCTATTAATCGACCAACCGTACAGGAGGTGTCGGTCAGGCCATCTATGCTCTGCTCTCCACTGCGAAAACTTCCCCAGCACCGTGGCTTCATCGGTGGCTTCGAGCAAGTCGAGCCTTTCGCTCCAGGTACAGCCTTTTCATCCAACCGTGGATGGCCCACCTACAAGTCTTGTGCATTGTGAATGCCTTGTCTGATTCTTTACAGTGCAGCTGGCATCGGACGTCTTAAGGGGGTTGCTTGCGTAGATGCGCTTGTAACAGCCACTGTTCACAGTGGTGGCACACCGGTCGACGGTCGAGTGAAAAACGGTCGTCTCAAGTCAAGAGTTGAACATGTAAAAACCATGCTGGTATACCAGGACACCCGGGCCAGGGGTTTCGATAGCTCCTTAGAGGAGGTTAAGGGGTGTCCATTAACCACCCCGACCGTGGGTCCTGGTATATATAATATATACAGTATCGCATTTGTAGTTCAATATGATTATATATATATGCTTTGATTATATTGCCAAACCATTTTGCAAAACCATTTCTATACATGGGATTGCTGATCAGCAGTCTACACGTGGAATCAAGTCAGTGTCACGAATATCCCTTTTGCATGATGCCTATCTTGACACGAGTAAGGTTGGGCAGTAGGCAACACTTCCAGGAAGACCATGTGTGCATGCATCTTAAGCAATGCATACACTCCCTGACTCCCTGAAACAATCATGCAAGTGGAACATAGGCCCGTGGAAGACAATTTTCCCCTGTAGAGGAACATCGTCATCCAAGGAGCATTGCCCACTTCCATCCGGTTACATGTATATGCAAATGCTAAATATAAATAAAGCATATATATATATATATATATGATCATATAGAACTACAAATGTAATACTGCATATATGCATAAATCTGTATAAATGTAATAGTTACATTTTTTCGGGGGGACGAACCCTGCTGTTCAACAGCCGGTGGGTGAAGAACATCACTGAACACATCACGAAGAAGGGCGAATTCGCTGACTCCGGTTCGGGCGAAGGAGCGAAGACGCATGACCCCAAAGCCACTTCCAGGAGTCACTAAAGGGGGTAAGGGGTAAGGTGTCCCCAAATGAGAGGATGTGACAAGGGAACCTCTATCCTCCAAGGGAAGGCACCCCGACATGTGATCCAATGTGGCTCCTGTCTGTTTTCACTGACCTCTTAGGCAAATCCAGCTACAGTAGCAGTGGCTAACCCAGCTCCACTGAGCAGGTTTACAAATAGAAACATCCTCTGATTTAGTTGAGTGATCGCACTTGAGAAGCGACAGCCCGTTAAACTACCTGCACGTTTCTGCAGGATCTAGGTGAGACTTCTGCCGAGCCCTTCTCGCGGCTGAGAAGAAGGCTTCATGAAAGGCTTTATGACTGCTACACGTGACCATATTGACGGTTGCACAAAACACAGAAACTCATACAACATCTATGTACAACGAGACCAGGCATCTGCACATCATCAGGAACAGGAAATCCACCCACATTGAGCGCAAGGGACTGGAACATGAAGCTCTGACCATTTTTGCCATGCAGCTTGCCACCCTGCAGACTAACAAGGACTGTGAAAATACACCCTTGTAAGACTATTCTATTCTCATCTACCACCTAGTAGTTTTCGGTGGTTTTCAGGGTCCATGTTCATCTGTGCCCACTTGTTCTTATTGCTCGCTCATTCTCATTCAAGCGGACTCCTGTTGCTATGACGCCTGAACTCTGACATCCACATCCGTCCTTGTTTCATGTTGGTGGATCAATTAGAATAGAGTCTGAAAGGAGTTGACCCACAGCAAAATGAATCAATACAGTAATGAATCAATATGAATCAACCAAACATATCCCGTGGATTTGATCACCTTCCAATCCCAATCCACCGTTCAGCATCTTTCAACCGGCCTGAGCAAACCAAACATACCACCAAGCAAACTCCTAGCTAGATGATCCTGATTCCAAATGAGGGATACATAGAGATCTGTTTAGATAAAACCTCCACATGGGAGATCAACCACGCTCCACCGCTCGCCGCGCGACACGCAGCGACTTCACGCTGTGAGAAGTCGCTTCGCGGGGGTCGTAGCCTGCAGCGACTGCTGAGAAGTCACTCGGCGAGGTGAGTAGAGTCGCCCGGGCATCAGAACGCCTGAGACAGTTTCAAGCAGCGAGATGGCAGAGAACAGGAGAGTAAAGGACAAAAGTGGTTGGTGGCTTCAAGTCAGTTGAATTATTGTAATTAGCTAGTGGGCTCAATCATCCCAAATGAAGATCCACCATAGACACACCTGAGATCACCACCCAGCAAAAACAGTCTTGAGGCTCCAACTACCTTTTGAGGGAGATCTTGGAGCCCTAGGGCATTGCGAAACGCTGAGAATATCTGAGAATAGAAGCTGGATGAATGAGCCTTGAAATGGTGAGTATGTAGGTTCACAACGCAAAGACCCCAACATTTTCCGAAAACTATGAATCACCCCCATGCCCAAGACCCCCACCAGCTTTGAAGGAGCCTCTGATAAAGTAGCCGCTTCCTTGTGCTGCTTTGCGGCCTGAGTGCGCAGCATGGAAGAACAAAGTTGGCACAAATCTTATACACAAACCATATGGGTGTGCATATCAATAGGGAGACCCCCCAACCTAATGGGTTTTGGCTTACTAATCTAAGTTTCCTTCTTCCAGAGGGTCGTTGCCTGGGAGGTCTCCCTATTTGTACACAGTACACACATATTGCTCTGGTGGAGTCGGATTCTTCCCGAAAAAGAAGGAATGGGTTCAACTTGAAGGCGCCTGTTGCGCCATCTCGCCAACGGCGCCGCCTGTCACACCGTCAAATAAAGCTATGACATTGGACCTTCGAGTGCGAGGAAATCATCTGTCCAATGGTAGACGGCCGATTCATAAACCCCCCTACCCGAATTGCTTTTCATCTCCATATGAGCTCTGTGATCTTCAATGATATGGGTGGACCAGGGACGCAGCAGGGACGCAGCTCATCCACGTGAAATTCTTTGACCCTGTGATAACCTATGCCATCTGCAAACTTATAGGATTCATCACTGAGTGTCAGCACACCGCAAACGCGGACCGACCGGTCGTTTCCCATCTTCCAACCTTCGAAAACACCACCTGCCCCTGCGCTGCGAGTGCTGTGCTCAACGAGTTCGGTCATGCAAAACGACCGTCCAATGGATGTCAAGTGACCTGAACGTTCGGACCCGGAAACGCCCGGAAAACCTGGGGTACCTAGCCGGATAGCCGGATAGCCTTTTTGGGGTTCAACCTCTGCTGGGTTGGCAGCACTTTTCTCCTCAAATGGCCCATGACTCTATCTCCTCCGCATCGCCTGAGCGCGCGCGCGCATTTTGAAGAGAGACTGCACTGTGGAGGTGCAGCAGGCGGAATCAAATGGAGGTGCAGCACGCAGGCTCATGTGTTCTGTTTATAGGTGTTTGGACTTCAAAGTGGTGCAAAATGATGCAAACAATGCAGGTAATGATTCATGCTGCAGCACACATGTCGAACATGCCCAAAAAGAAACGGTTACGGTTATGGATGTTTCAAAGTGTGCAAATAATGCTGCAGTACATATGTTTCTCACATGCCCGGCCCCCAAAAGAGACTTATACATGCTTATGATTGCTTATGGTTAATGAGTTCATGTGTGATCCTGTCTTGCGTTGGACACTCCAGCGCCCGTTGGGACTGCCGACCCTCGTCATTGGGGTCCAGGAAGGGCTTCGTGATGGTGTCGATCATCAGCTGACCACAGAACGGGCAATCCTCGGCCAGCAATCCATCCAGCTCATCTTCGACCTGCACATGGAATGGTGTCGAACACCAGCTGTTACTGTAGGTTGCCGGTTTTCTTGCTCGCTCTCTTGCTTTCTTGGTGGGGTTCTTGCTTGCCTGCTTGCCTGCCTGCTTGCACAAGCGATTTAGCTGTGGGTTATTAAACACCTTCGTTGCCGGTGTCTGTTTGACCACCACGGTGGATCTGATAGAGGTCGACACTTCTGGTCGGTGGTCTTTCAGAGACCTGCCGCGACCGAAGCGGTCGCGGCACCTCGTCAGAGATCTGGCCATGGAAAAAGATGGAGGCACGAGGCTTGCCCGTACTTATGTCCTTCTACTGTACTTGGTTCAAAACAAATGGTTTAATAATGTTTAATAGTAAGAAATCCCAAACAAGAAAGAACTAAGGGTCCATGCCCCATCAACCCATGGGAACCTCTGCCAAAGGCACCATAGGCGCCGCGTTGGCGCCGGCTGCGGCGGCCTGGTGCTGCAAGCGAGCGTCCTGGAGGAAATGGCGTGGGGCTGATGGAAGTCTGGGCAGTCAGGAGTAAATGAATCCCAAACACTTTCCCATGCACCAGGACCTTCAAAGTGACCTCTTTGGAGTCCCTAAGTGGCCTCTTGAGGCACTATATAAGTCGTGACCAAAAGGTCACTTTGAATGTCCTGGCATGACATATGTCCATGCATACCACTACTTTCCTGCATTCGGGGTGGTTTGGGGATCAATGTCGGCATATATACGTATATATCTTCCAGTTTCATGGAGTGTTTGGGGATGTAAATTATGGTCTTGCTGTCCAATTGAAGTCTAGATCCAGTACATTCAAAGTACCGTGGGGGAGTTTGTTCCGCAATGGATGGTCCTGGTGGAATTGGCAGAGTTGCAATCCCCCCATGCCTCCTTTCGGCCCAAGTTCTGGCTTTAGTGATGATCCGTTACTACATGGAAGATGTATGAAGATGCTATGTTGGTGATTTGAAGCTATTTGGCGAACATGTCCCCTCCCTGAGCCCCAAACAGCTTGCCCCGGTTTTTGCTGGGGAGATGTAATGTTGACCATTGACTCGACACGCATCTTCCTAGTTACTGTATTCATCAAACATCAACATGACCTAATTGCAGGACCCTTCATAGATGGTACAAGACTTTTTGGGCAGAATCTGATCCTGCGTTTCACCAATCATATTTACCTGTTTGTTTTAACAAAAGCGCAGCTTGCCGAGCTTTGTCTGCGGTTTGCTTCGCAGATGAGAAGCACCTCTAACTTGAAGAGGCGCTCTCGGCGAGCCGGCGACAAGGTGGGCAAGATCAGCGCACCTCGAAGTCTGACAGAGATGGAGCAAATGGATGGAAGAACATAGACTAGAGCACTGGGATCCATCATAGAGCACCTCGTATGCCTACAGACCTCCATGGGACTGGCCTATTGACCTATCAGTTGCGGTGGTGGTCAATGTAGTCCCATGGGTGGCCTGGGGGACAAAGGGACTAGACTGGAAGCACAAGACAAACACAGCAGCTGGTCAGCTGGTCAGCAGCTGTGTAGCAGCTCCAAGGTACATTCTCATTGAGGCGCTCCACTGTGAGCCAGTCACCTTCTACAGGTGAGTTGCTTCAAGTGCTAGTCAAATCCATTTCCGACTCAAAGCCTTGAAGTGCCTTCGCCCGTGACTCTACCGGTCCCCGAACACTCCATGCGTGGAAGATGTCTGAATACTTGCTTCGGAGATCCTTCGAGGGCGATTTTAGGGGTCAATCTAGCAGCTAAGAATCATTGTAGACCTACATGGAACGCCTGGAGTCGATGGTCTATGGCTATGGTCTATGTTTTTTTCTATGTCTCATCTTGGTTGCCGGATCCCACACGTTCCACCCAAAGAAACAAAGCCCCGGTCACGCTGCGACCACAAGAATTTGGGCACCAAAGAGATCGTCTCACGATCTACACAGGTCCAGAGGTCGTCTAGAGGTCGTCTAGGGGTCTTGAGATCCATTTACGTCTTGAGATCCAAAAGGATCTAGTGACTAGGAGAATCACTAGGAGAATCACTAGTGACTAGGTCTTGTCGGTCTTGTTGTCCAACAAAAAGCGGAGAATCACTAGGAGACTCGTCTTCCATGTGATGCCTTCGTCACAAAGAACGGCTCCACGAGCCCCGTGCCGCGACCGGATCCGAGGGGCGAAGGCAGGCCTCATGACCTGTGGCGCCGGAGTTCGCGGAGGAGAGCGGAGATGGCGACCGGTGTCAATGACGAAGGTGTCAAAGGAGTGTTCCTAATAGTTTGTGATGTTATACCGAATTCTCGTGATTGTTTTTCTATAGATGTGTTCTTTTTATTGTTTACATGTCCTTCGTCTGGTTTTCTATAGCTTTGTTCTCTTTTACTTTTTACATGTCATTTGTCTGGAGAGCCCACTGTAAAGATATACATGTGTCAACTAAAGGTGCGCTCTGACTCTATCCGCATCCATCTTTACACAGATTTGGAACAACCTCAACAGTTTTGTTTGGCTTTGTTAGTTAACGAGACCCCGAAGGGTCAGGGAGGCCCCTTAGATGGCAGGCGGTGCCCCCGAGACAATTCACCTGTCAACCCATGCAGCGGCTTCCCCATCTGCAGCACAGTAGCAGCAGTGAGTACAGGTGAAGGCATAGAAGCGCTCTCGCATGGCTTCGCAGCCACAGATCTCACAGCATTGGTCGGCCCCCACCACGATGCAGCGCCTTTCTGATCATTTTTTTTCGAGGCTGTGAGGGCGGCCGGGGTGAAATGCAGTGAAGGACGAGGACGAGGCCGGATGACGCAGGATTGCATCGTCTGTATATTGAGATGTTTCGAACGGATCTCTGACATGGTGCTCAACTACTGGGCAATTTACTCGCTGCAGCCCAATCTCTGTGTGGGGAAACCCAAAGGGTAGAAAACAAACGTCTCATCCTGAATTGGGCTGCGCGGATCTTGTTCAACATTCCCCAAGTCCCAGAATTGGAAGGGAAAACCATGCAAAACCTAGGAAACCTCTGGTTTTGGAGTAAAAGCGAGGGTTTTCTGTAGATGTTCCCTTCAAAAAGACCTTGGGAAGAACCCAACAAGGTGGATCTGTTGGAGGAAATTCAAGATCCAACTCTCTAACCCTCAATCCTTTCTGAGCCGAACTAGCGGCTTGTTACGCCCGCATGGTTTTCCCCGCTCGTCTTGCAGAACGTCCGCGCCACCCTCCCCGCTTCGCTCGTCCGGTCAACAGCCCAAGGAGCTCGTCCGCGCGCTTGAGGTCTTCCTTGAAGGCTGAAAGGGCTCGGCGATGATCGTCCATCTCCTGACCGTGTTCCCCGAGTCCAGTAGACTAGGACTAGACTGAGTGCAGGGCAATAGCTTTCTAGCAACATAGTGGTGCACTAAGACAAAAATGGAAGTCATCTATGAGAAAAATCCATCCAAAACCAAAAGACAGGGGAGACACATGTTCAGTTCAGGAGCAGCTTGATCCGATCGTACCCGTTTCTGACCAAATAGCGCAGAATGGCACAACAATAAGCGCGCAGTGCTTCGCAACAAATGCTCTTCTTCAGTTGATCTTGGTCTCTGAAGTGCATGGGCAAATGGCCGGTGGCTGGTGTTTGTGAAGAAAATTGTTTAACAAAGCAGGATGAGTTCCCGAACCGCGATGTTCAAACGCCGCCAGGCGCCTGGCGGAGCGTCACAATCTGGCCTCTCAGCGTCCAAGGGATGGTCGAGTCTTCAAAGGCTGTGGATCAAATCCAGGAGCCCCTTTCACCAGCACAAAGCTTTCTGGTTCTAGTTCTAAGGTGCATGGAGGTGCATGGGCCATGGCGGCCACAGCCTGGATCCCCTGCAGTCAGTTGGTCCAAACTTGCCCAAATCTCCCAAAATCACCTATGACACTTGGTATCACGTGACGCCGAGCGATGGCATATGTTGCACTCCGACGAACATCACACCCTCTGTTTAACAAAGGAACGAAGGAACGAAGGACCATGCCATCCACTTCCATGCGACTTCCTGTCATCAGAGATACAATCTGTGCATCTGTTGTTGAATTCGCCCAAACGAGCACACCGATGGCTCATCCTTCCCCACTGCTCATCCCGCAAGGCCCTTGGGCTGATTCATGATTTGCCTCATGTCTTCGATGGCCACTGTCATTTCTATGGCGTTCTTCCTTGCGCCACTGAATCGAGCCCTGTCTTACACTTACAGTATATGAATATAGTTGGGGTGACTCAGAAGAAGACAAACATGTCCAAACCATCTGCCCGTTTTATTGTCCCACTCCCACTGGAAACTATTCCACAAAAATAGCCACTTCTGGAGCCTTCATAGGCGTCCAAGCACTCACAGATTTCGGACTGGAAGGCTTCGATGGTCATGGAATCCGACAAGTACGGCAAGACGTCGCGGATCGTAAGCTCCTAGAAACGGAATTCGTTCAGTCCAGGCCATTGTTCGGGGAAACGAAGGTGACGGTCACTTCTGGACAAACCTGGCTTGTAGCAATCAGAGTGCCAAACGATATGAGGGAATCACTCACCTGATTATTGTTAAACTCCCTGGGATTCGTCTCTTCCACAGAAGTCTTTCACGGTTCTACCTCTTGGACACGCCTAAGAGGGTTTTGCAAAGCGAACCCGGGGCCAAAAGGAACGAAAAACGGCTCCTGAGACTCCTTGATGAGACCAATGATCTTCTGCACATCACTGGTCGCTGCCTGACCGGGGCTCCGAGCGCCTCGCACCTGGAGCTAAGCTTCCCCTGCTCAAAAGCCATCTGGGCCCCGGGTTTGGAACGGTGTCTAACGAATCAGCCTGGAAAACGGTTAAGGGGTGCCCATGAAGTACCCCAAAAAACGCCTGATGCTCCACGATCCTCAGCCACAGCTTCTGCCGGCGCCGCTTCTCGCACTCCGGAGGTCTACACGCGCTGGTCTTGGCCAAAGCGATGTCCTGCATGCGAGAAGCGTCACGCTGTTCCAAGCGTCCCAAGTCTGGGGGCGAGTTTTCTGGCCGCCAAAGCATCTGGATTTCATATATAGTGATCCCCAAGTAGATCGTGGCACGGTTTCCATTACGTTTTTGGTGGGGATCTACTTGTCTATATTTGGGGAGTCTAAGATGGAAGTGGGAAATGGATGGACATGACCCGTTGGATGGCTAACATCCTCTACGACAAAGAGGTGGTAACTTCCATGGAATGTGAGTCAGAGGATACTTTTCCCTAAGGATCCAAGTACCCTCTGAGAAGGTGGGACTGGGGTGGGTTTGGAGGGTCCAAGTACCTTTCGAGGAGGTACGACTGGATCCCTAGGGTTTGGATATATTAATCCATCTACATCCACCTGGTGAGAACTCTCATGATGGAAAACTCATCATGGCCTAGTTGAGATGCCCTTCCTATAGCAGTTTCGACTGTGTATCGTCTCCTGCTGGTCGTGCTGGCACGGCACTAGCACAGCTTGAAGATCTCCCCCTCCTACAACCACTGCTGCTACTGAGTTACTGGTGCGAAGCTTGGAGATAAACATAATAGCACAAATGTGCCAAACGCATGCAGCAAGAACCCAGTCCTCGTGCTTGAGGGCCACCTCCACAGCCTCCTGCCATCAAAAATCCACTCTCCACCCAACCAGATTTATTGGAGATGTATATATTATCAAAATTCAAGAGCTATGCTCTGTAGAGCCCACCCCCACCACATTCAGACCATACATATGCATATACGTATGTAGACGACATATGTGTGACATATGTGAAACATATGTGCATCATATGTGAAACATATGTTAATCATATATGAAAACATATGTATATCATATATGTTATATTGTCACATAATGTTTGCATCTCAGTTTCAATTGAATTGGATTTCATGATTCCAACATCATCAATGATTCTCAATGATATAAATGATAAAGTTGAACCAAAAACAAGAGTGTCAGGCGCACTGACGTTCGGAACCACTATTCTTTTTCACCACTGCCGCCCCTGCTGTAACTGAGCTCGATTCGCACTTGTGCCCGTTGCAGTTGCTGACACACGATCTGTGCTCACCCCTTGTGACTCTGCTCTTTGCAGTGGCCGGAACAACGGTAATGGCTGTGGTAGAAAACATTGTGAATGGAGTTGTAAACCAAGTCACGTCACATACATAGCAAATAGTGTCACACCCTGTAATCGTTTAGTTATAGTTGTATTATATTATATATAGCCATAGTCATAGTCATAGTCAGTATAATATATGAACACATAGTTTCGGGCCTTGAGTCACTCCAGTGAACCGCAACATACAAGCACTAATCTACTAGTCAAAATTCAGAGTTCAAATGAATCGTCATGACTTCCGGTCAGAAGCTCGATGTGTTGGCAAACTTCATGTGCACAATCGTCCTCGACCGGACAGTCTAAGTTCAGCAAGACTGCCATGTCCACAGCTACGCTCACAGTCGAGCTGAAACTATTTCCAGCCAAGTCAGCTAGCTGCACATCGCTGTTCGAGAATGCCCCTGGCAGTGTTTCCACTGAGTATCCTTGAAGCCTCATCAGGTCTCGACCACATAGAAAACGTCTTGATGGAAAGTGGAACAAATGACAGCCAGGCAATACACAGGGGCAACATTCATTCAAACTATTTCGGGCCCTTGCCACTGTCTGGCTAGAGTCGACCCAAATGGTCTTCTCATTCATTTCCAGGGCGATGGCAACAACTTCCTTTTCCCTCTCAGTCGTCACAGCCAGCCATGGATTGCCTCTAAGGCTCACCGGCACGGGTGGTGGCCAAGCAATCCCGAGTTGCTCACAAGCATCCATGTGTGCGATGCTCCAATTTGAGTCCTCAACGCACGAATACACACACCCCAGTGAGGGTGGGGTTCTTGGACACTGAGTTTAAAGCACTAATGTTCAAAGCACAGCACAAGAAATCACAGTCGACGAGTCAGTGCAGGAAAACTGAAAAAAACACGCTGAATTGAGCTCTGAATGTCAGAGTCGCACGCATCAAATATGAATCGACATAGACACAGACTAATATCCACTGATCAGTTTCTCAATTTCAAGCGTCACATCAGCACACTTCTCTACTACTTTTTACTTACATCTCACATCAGTTGCAAGTCCTTCACTCGTTCAATTCAGTCAAGTCGTGAGTCATGAGTCATAATAATCAATACGTCCATCCATACATCCATCCATTCATTCATTACCATCTACTGATCATGTTCATTTTATGTATAATCAATTCATTTCAGTCTTAGGGTCTTACTGTCTTACTGTCGTACTAGTTTTCTATTGTTTGTGTGTATCACTTATGTTTATATGTGGTTTTAATGTTCATGCTATTGCCTTTTGTTTGTTAAGTTATGTTCTTTTTTATTGTTTAGTTCATTCAACCATCCACCCATTCATCCATTGGATTGATTGATCGGTTCAGTCTATATGTTTAAATCTATTTCATTTCATGTCAACACAATTTATTTTGTTTGGTTCATTTATTGATTCATGTCACTCAATCGGTCGAGTCAAGTCATACATTGATCCACAATCGCGCCTGAGTCCATTTAGTTAGTGAGTTTCTATAGTCACAGTCACAGTCAAACAATGAATGGAATCAGTTGAGTTTGCAAGTGTGTGAACATCAGTCGAGTCGGGACTTGAACGGACGGGATTTAGATCGTACCTTTAGCTTTAGTGCTCATTGCCAGCATATACAGCCTATACAGTACATGTATGTAGCCTATCCCTATGCCACCTATGCCACCTATGCCTATGAGTTATGAGTCATGAGTCATGAGTTATGAGTCTAGTTGAGTTATAGGCAGGGTCATTGTCATACTCAGAGCCATGAGTCATGGGTCATGAGTCATGATGCATAGTCATAGTCTATAGGAATCATAACTAACTTATACATAGGCAATAAGTGAATCAATTGTCGAGCAGATTGGAGTTGTCGAGTCATGTTTTGAGTTTGAGTTTAGTTTTTGCATGAGTATTTTCTTTTTTTTGTCACCCTGGTTTCACTTTGTCAGATTCCTAAGGCATGTGTTCTTTCATTTTCGTGAGCTGTGTAGTAGTTGTATCTACACAGTTTGTGGCAGTGTGACTATTGAAACATGCTCAAATCCCAACAATTCTTGTTGTACTGTTGCTGCGTTTGTTTCTGTTGTTTTCTTGCTGCTGCTACTGCTAATGTTAGTCTAGCCTATAGCTATAGCTACAGCCTATAGCCTATAGCCTAAACATAATGAGCAATGATCAACAATCACAATGAGTATTGAATGAGTACAACACTTCATCGTATGCACAACGTCACAGAATGTGTGGTTATTACTAATTAGTTAATTTGCAAGCTGATATTCTTAAGCACAAGCCTGGGTCGAAATCATTTCATTTGGAAGATTTGTTTTGCTCGAATACCTTGAATTAGTAAGATTTTTGGCTGATGCTGTACTGCTGCTGCTGGGGACAGAGTGTGGACAGTGTGGGATTGGATTGGCGTGGCATCGATTTACTCATAGGCTCATAATTTGTTACATAAAAAATATGTGTTTCCCTGGGAGAATGTGTCAATGAAACCAAATACTGAAAGCGACTGCGACAAGTCAAAACAAGTGAACACGTTTTGCTGATCACAAACGCCGATCACTCACCGATGAGTCGAGGCCGATGACTCCGCCGATGACCGATCGCCGATCACAAAAAACACATGTCAAATGTCGATGAATGTCAGTGGCAGAGGGAAAAAACCAATGCATACAAATACACAAAACTGAGAAAATACTCCTTGGAAATCTCACCCTTCTTGATGCGACTCTCTTGATCTTGTCGATGTTGCTTTCGACGTTGCAACTCTGCCAGCAGGTAGGGATCGTCATCGGCCAACAATACACTCTTCACACTCAACGACCCGATCTTGAAGGCATCTAGCATGCGTCCCACCATATCAAAGAAGGGTGCTGGATCTGTGCTTGTGACCGCACCATCCAGCCGCACAGCGATGATGTAGATGCGCTTCCTCCCGTAAAGATACCAGGACAACTGGATAGTGGAATCAGTAAATAAATAACTTAACTCATATATAGATAGACGATCGTATAGACTAGGCATCATAAACCTTATCTTATGACTCCCGAGTCCTATCAATCCATTGATATAGTTCAGAGTGTAGTCTTTTGAAGAACCATAATCTAATCATGTTAAATTATGTTTGATCGCGCCATTAATTGATTCATATAAATCAAGAATCAGCCATGGGGCCATGGCAATATCATATGAGTCATATGAGTTTGAGTTGAGTCAATATAACAGCATAGCATGACTCATTGACTCTAAAATGAAAGGTCCTGCTTTGTGGAAGGATGTAGTCATTTGTGTTGAGGTTGTAAACTCTGACATCGTACATGGCTTCATCAACCGCTTTGATCTCCTCGCATACCTTGCACAAATTCGAATCTTGAACATGCTCATTTCCAATGGAATCAACATTCTCCAGGATCACCAGCTTTGGCTTGGTCGCTGCAATGGTGCCCATAGTGCCAAAGAAGGTAGATACACTGCAGTTTGAAAAGTCTTCGTTCTTGAAGCTCTCCCTGAATTCAGAAAAACGCACGTTCATTCGGCTGTTGCCTTTGCAGCTGAAGCCACTCTTGAGGAGGAAGATGTCTGATCCACGAGGGTCACATGCTCTCTTGTGTTGGACACAATATTGCATGGCTTTCAATTTGTGATCTTTGACCTTTTGTTTGGTCTTTGGATGTGAACTGGTGGTATCGACTGCTGCATCGGTGGCTGTACAATCAAGTGGCGGCAAGGGAAACTTCCGATCTGCCAAAGCCCCAAGTGTCACCACATCATCAAATACACATGTGTCCTTGGAAACGATATTGGCCATCAAGTACTGTTGTTTCCATGGAACCTTTTCGCAGCAGAACAAGACTTTGGCATCCAAAGGCTTGAGGAACTCTTCACTGAGTTGATGCACTGTTGCATGAAATGCCAACTCACCAGTACCACTGCCCGCACACAATGATGCCAAAGTCAACTCACCCTTTGGAAGACTCAACATGCTCTGACTGGATATTTCTCTCGCCTTCTTGATGTAGAATGAAGCTGCATTGGTGAGCAAATTGCTCATGTCGATGCTATCATCTGGATTCAGGAAGCGGCGCAGTGAATCTTGGATGCTATCCGAGCCCTTTGCAGCATCAGCATCCACCTCAGCGGCCTTGGTATGTGGTTCGACCATCTCCGCACTCTCGACATCCATTTGATCCATTTGATCACCCACATCACCAGGACCATCACCTGGATCATCACAATCCATGCCCTGGCTCAGGGATTCACCATCCAGATCACTCTGGTTTGGAAGTTGTGTTTCGATTACTGCTTCTAATCCCTGCCCCGGATCCTTTGGTTGGGACTTGCTGTCAGTATCAGGGTAGTCATGCTGAGTCTCATTGACAGTCTGAGTCATAGTCTCAGAAGGAACCGAAGCATCTGGAATGTGTGCACTCTCATTCTCAGTGGTGTTGATGTCACCATGTTTGTCCTCCGGACACTCGACCAAGGGTAACGGCAATGTCAGCTCCAATTCACTGAGATT